ACTAAACACCTGTTCATATATTCTCTCTCTCTCTCTCTCTCTCTGTGTGTGTGTGTGTGTGTGTACTTGTATATCAAGAGAAAACTCCTCAAAATAAGCAGTAATCAAAAAGAATTAACCAATTGTTAATAACCAGCTGGAAAGTTCAAATAAAATACATATGTCACTGATTTCTCCCTACACCCAATATCTATGGTTCTGAGTTGAACAGATGGGTTTTCAAACCTTCTCTAAATTTGTGCAACTATGGTTCCCTATGAAGGTACTGGGGGACAGAATTTCACAACTTTGGAACCAAGTGAGAAAATATCCAAAGCCTGGAATTTGCCACCTTAGTTAAAGGGACCAAGAGAAGTCTCGTATGTGCAGATGGAGCCCTCCTATAAGAAATATGCCATGACGCAAGCTTTTCTAAATAATTAGGACAGGAAGAACATAAATGTCTGGATGAGAGTTTTAAAATGTGTTCTTAGCCTGATAGGCAGCCAGTGCACTGCCCTGTGGTGTTGGGAAATAGGAGTAACATGCTATACAGTATGTGCTGTAATCAGTGCTCATTTAAATGGTTTTGGAACATGAAGTGTCCTAGGTAAGCTAGGTTAGCAGTGGTGAACAATGAACTTCTTGAACAATGATCTCAGGAGGAGTCTGTGGAGAAAGTGGGGAATTGTTCCAAGTCAGGCATAGATTCCAATGTTAGTAGATTTGAGGAATAAATGAAGTTTTGTGCCCCATGCTTCACCCAGCAATCCACTTTGCCCGTTCTCAGGAATGCCCCTACTTGTTAAGCAGCATCTGATCTCTGCTTCAGGGAGCAGATCCTGGGAGGCAGCTCCCCAGCTGTTATTGCCACATCTCTACATGATGCCCCTTGGTGGGAAGACAGAATGCGGTGTCCAATGCAGCCTGCCCTGCACCTCTTAAACAAGACTGCAGCTTTCAAAGATAGTGCAGGATGCTTCATCCTATGAGTAAAAACATGAGTAAACTGACAGTCTGTTAAGTTTCCATACTTGAAACAAGGTAAGAAGGGCCTTGTCACTCACTTCAGACAGCAAAATGTCTCGGGATGGCTCTATTCATCCCAGAGGTTTCTGGACCACCATCCAACCCATCCCCTGTTTTTTGGTTGCCTGACGTGGGAGCTCCCTAGTACCATCCTTTATGTTGGCCACTATTAAAGGAAAATTTGCCACTCAATACTATTATAGTGCCATTAGGAGAATTTAGTCCTGAAATGGATTCTCTCACAATCCTTATTTATAATGCTAGAAAGCCACAGTGTTGTACAGAGGAGGCTCAGCCTGGAACCATAGAACAAGAGGGAACAAACTGCACTTGACTGCATCAGGGTGTTGGAGTCACTAAAAAAGAGGGGAGGAAGTCCAATTTAAAAGGAATTCAGGCACAAAGTGAGGAATACAAGACCACAGCTTCTCCCTTCCCTCAGTGGCTTCTATCTCAAAGCTCTTTTCTCCCACCTGAGCACAATTCCAGTATTAATGTTGCGCTAGGAAGAAAAGTGCATATACAAAAAAGGGAAGTGAGAGAGGCAATGGAGGAAGGAAGGAAGAAAATTTCAGGTGTATGACATGTTTGCTTGTCAGATCATCAGATCAGAGTCCCATAAGGTGTATGACATGTTTGCTTGTCAGATCAGAGTCCCATATCTTTCTTTCTATGGGACTGGTATAGAACAATGTTTAAACTAGTATGGCTCTATATCTGCACTATTTAATAATCTTCCTTGGGTAAAAGGAACTCATACCAGTCTAGCCAAGGAGATGTGCATGCAGAGATTTGGAATGGGTTCAAGAGGAAGACAACAAGAATGATTAGGGGGCCGGAAACCAAGCCCTATGATGAAAGACTGAAAGAACTGTGCATGTTTTGCCTTCAAAAAAAAAACTGAAGGGAGACATGATAGCACTTTTCAAGGCTGGCATAGAGAAGAGGGGCAAAATCTGTTCCCCAGCAACCCAGAGTACAGGACACGCAACAATGGGCTCAAGTCACAGGAAGCCAGATCTCAGTTGAATATCAGGATAACCTCCTTAATTGTTAGAGCAGTATAGCAATGGAACCAATTACAGTGGTGTCCTGCTTGACGATGATAATGTGTTCCGTTAAAATTGCTGTTAAGCAAAATCGCCGTCAAGCGAAAGTAAAAACCCAATTGAAATGCATTGAAAACCAGTCAATGTGTTCCAATGGGGGAAATACCTGCTCGTCCAGTGAAGAGCCTCCATAGGGGAAGCCATTTTGCATCACTGTCTTCCGGAAATAGGTCCAGAAAACAGCGGGGAGCCATTTTGAACACCTGATGATCAGCTGTTTTTAATCGTAATGCGAACAAACGGTTCGCAAAGCAGGGAACTGATCATCGTAAAATGAAAAAACCCATTGGAATCATCATTTTGCAATCGCAAAAAATTCATCGTCAAGCGATTTCAACGTGGAATCATCATTTTGCGATCGCAAAAAAATTCATCGTCAAGCGATTTCAATGTCTAATGGGGTAATCATCAAGTGGGGCACCACTGTACCTCAAAAGGCAGTGAGTGCTCCCAACACTGGAGACATTCAAGAGAAATTTAGACAACCACCTGACAGATATGCTTTGATTTATATTCCGGCATTGAGCAGGGAGTTGGACTCAATGGCCTTCCAATTTCATTATTCTATGATTCTTAATTTGTAAGCATTGTTTTAGCCCAGTTGAGTGCGGCAGGATAGAAGGACTGAGGTATCAACATGTGGAAGGATGGGAGAGGAATTATCCACTTCAGATTAAAGCTTGATCCAGACAGGGATTCGGGGATCAGAATATTGCCATGACTGTTTTGGTGAGCATTACAAGCCAAACCTCTGTGTCAGAGCCCAGCAATAAAAGTGTGAGCAATATAATTAATAATTTTATTAGCCCTAATGCAGCAGCATTCTAAATATTTATAAATTACTGCTTTAAAAATAGAAGAATTTGCTTTCAATTATGGTCGTGCTCCAGGATACAGCAGAGAAAGGAAATGCTACTTTTGGACGAGTTTAGGGTATTCTGGAAGTTGCAGTAGAATACAGTAAAGTTTTCATCTCTGGGGAATATGTTTATAAGAAATATGCTCACTTTTCTCCATTTCTGTCATAGAAGCTGCAGGGTACTGGAAGCACGTAAGCACCATTTAGTGACTGAAATATTTTTTAAAAAAGTACCAAGCTGGCCACACAGGTTGAGTTTTAAAATAACCTGAAAATGTGCACATTTGAGTTTAAATGTTTTCAAAATGAATGCCTTAATATACACCTTATTTCTTGATCACTGTGATTCAGGAAGCACTTATGTTCCTTATAAGAGTAGTTATTTTAATGCTAGCTTTATTTTAAAAGGATCAAAGGATGTATTTTTACTCTGGTAATGAGAGCAGTCTGAGAAAAATGTCAGTTACAACTGGAAAACTTTTTGTTTTGTGTTGTATTAGACTTGAACCATCTGGACAAAACCTACAAGAAATTTGGGGAAGAGAATTCTTACAAACATAATCCTGATTTCCTTTCTTCTCACGTTAATCCTCTCTTTGGTGCAGGCAGACTACTGTGTTCTAATATTTCTTGACATTTAATGGCACAGCTGTAGCAGCACAGCTTTTACTATCAACCACTTCTGTCATATCAGATGAGTACACCTTTCATCATCGTAAGTGAGCACTGGGGGAGGAGAGGAAAAATTATGTAAGCTAGACATGGTTTTAATTGATGCAGGACAGACTTTTTGCGAACGTTGTAAGTGGAGACATAAAAGCATCCAGGATGATTTCTAGATCAGGGTCCACAACATGGGGCCTGTGGAGAAGATGCAACCATTTTTGGGTCCCCAAGCACCCCCTGCCCCCACATAAAAATGTAATTTTTGGGGGGGAGTGTTTTGCTCAAAAGCTCCACTAGCATCCTTTAAGGAGCAGGGAACAATTTATATTATTGTTTTGTAGCGGCCTATAATCACCCTCCCAGTAGCCTGTTGTTATTTACAGTGGTGCCTCGCTTAACGAGCGCACCGTTTAACGACGAATCTGCATAGCGACACGTTTTTTGCGATCGTTAATGCGATTGCATTGCGATGTTTTAGGTGGCAAAACATTGCCTTGCGATGATCGGTAAGCATTTCGCTTACCGATCTTTGCCTTGTGATGTTTAGAAAACAGCTGATCGGCGGTTCCAAAATGGCCACCAGGGGCAGAAAATGGCAGCGCGCAGCGTTTTCGCGCCCTGCCCTCGCTTACCGAGGCGGCAAAAATGGCGGCCGGATGGGGAATCTTCGCTTACCGGGTGAGTTTTCCCCCCATAGGAACGCATTAAATGGAGTTTAATGCATTCCTATGGGGTTTTACGTTCCGTATAGCGATGTTTCCGGATAGCAACGTTAATCCTGGAACGGATTAACGTCGCTATGCGGGGCACCACTGTATTTTGGAACTGTGTTGGTACAGGGGGCTTTTTCATTTCAAACTTCCCCTTTTTTTCGTAAACTATTTCCCAGCTAACAAAAATCCACTCTAATTTCAAAATAGTAAAAAGATATATATGCAAATTAGCCTTTTTGCCATCCTCCGTTTAATTCAGCCCCACCCTTGGCGAACATGGCCCTTTGGCTGCTGAAACATCTGAAAAAATGGCCCTAGACCCAACTGAAATCTCCTGTGTCTGGTCTAGAGGCACATGACTGGTATTTGGATGGAGACGACCCAAGTTAATGATTGTGAGCTACTTGGAGGAAAGAATGAGATGCAGGTATAAAATGTTTGTGTCACGTGCTGTCAAGATATTATTTCCTTATAGGGTTTTCAAGGTCTGTAAGGTGTTCAAGAAGGTAGTTTACCATTGCCACCCCACCTCCCTCCCTCCCTTGCCCACGCACGTGCACACACACACACACACACACACACACACACACACACACACACACACACACCAGTGAGTTTTCATAGCTGAGCAGGCATTTGAATCCAGGTCTTCTGAGTCCTAGTCCAACACTCCACTACATCAGTTGTCAGTAAAACATTTGGCATCCTATTTCAACCAAATATTGGTTGTTTCCACTTTTTTCTAGTTCAGATTTTATTTCTATATAAAAATACATTGTAATCCAAAGGATCATTAAAGTTATCTATATAAAATTACAAACTTTTTAATGAACACGTTTTAAATTAATATTAGGCTATATTTTACGAAAAAGTACAAGATGAGCACATTGGTTATTCGAATCTTTTTGCAGAAGACAAGTGCTGTGATTGTTTACAAGAGGAACCCTCTGACAGCATGCTTGTGACATACGGGAACTTTCTCTGTCACATCAGATAATGGAATAAAGCAGGTCTTAGCTCAGGCTCAACCTTGTGAAAGAGAGGTACTGTGCCAAAATAGCTTGTTTCACATACCTGTTAAGAAAATGTGATCAGACAAATATTAACATGTACAGTAATGCCAATTTTGAGCTAATTTTCTTTTAAGGTAGAACAGGAAAGAATCCCAAGATTAAGGAAGCATAACAGGCCAAAATAACCATATCTGTTGTTTCAAGTCATCTAACATATTTCCAACACAATTAATCACATCTTATCCCAAAAATATGTAATCCATACATTCTTACAGTTCAAATACAGATATGCATGTGTGCACAATGGGTACAAATAGGAAGGTAGGTGCATCCCTAGTGTGCAACACGTTCCAGGATTTGATTGGTGTGCTTCCTATCTGCAACAAATCAACATGGATCAGGTTCCTACTTACTTGCCAAGGTCCTATCAAGATCAGCAATAAAGTCTTCTAGTTCTTTTGTGTCTCCAAGTTTTGCTAGAAAAATAAGCAAACCACTGATTTATAATCAAAAGCAGTACTGAATTCATGTGTGTAAATCTAACTAATCAGGACTATTCAAACCATGGTTTCTTGAGCTCTCTGGAATCATGTCACAATATACTTGTTCTACTTTTCCCCCTCAGATCTAAAATTCTTCAACTTTACCTAGAAAAGGAACTCTTAAATTGAGATTTTAAATAGAATGGTCAGTAATCCCATGATAGCAGCTCCTGAATTGCTCTATATCCAGTTAAATGTTCTGAAAGAGAATATAGTAATTTAAGCAAAACAAGCTAAACAAACCTTGGTAAGATCGAGGGCCCTTAACTTGCCCTTAACATAGCAAATAGGATGAAGCCCTGTCATAGCTTATCAATGATATTGTAAAATAGCTGCTCTCTAAAAATATTCAGAATTGTCACCAAGTGTATAATGATGGTGGACACAACATCCTATAATTCTGTACCATATGAGAACTTTGTACGGGTTAATGCATGTGCTGACCTACCACAATTATACACTAGACTACATAACAGGGCACTTGCCACTGTGCATAAATCTACCTGGGTCATAGTACATGATATTGTCTACATAAGTAATCTAAGTGGCCCATTGCTTCCAGAAAGTACTGTAATGAAAGCAGAAAATTGTTCAAATATATTCTATGGTTGACGTCCGTATATGTCAGCTATTTACCAGATATATATTATGATCAACCCCATGTTTAACTTCTGGAAGGATGCTGAAGAGATGCAGAGCTCATGGCGTCATCCAGTGCAGAAACACTTCCCCCAAATTTTGCTACATAGAAAAGGAAACTGCACTAATTCAATACACTGCTCCCATCTTACTTCATTTGTCCTACAGTTCTAACCTGACATGGAATCAAATGCCAGAATTCAGCCTTGACACAGATTGCAATTCCTGATCCAATACTCAGATATGCAGTATCTAGGCCCTCAGGGTATCTAGATTCTAGTGGAGAAGTACGCAATCTCAGCTAGGCTGAGGGCTATTTTTCAGATCTGCCCACAGCCCAAGGACCACACTCCCAAGAGGGTAGGGCTACATGAAATTTTAAAACAAGGAGGCTGGGGCACAAAATGGCCCCGGGTGCTGCATGCAGCTCATTAGAAATGTGTTTCCTATCCCTACTGTGGGATATTATCACAATGGAATGTTTGAACTATCCTAGTAATGGGGCTGTTATCTCTGAGTACCAAGACTTGGATAACAACCTCTCACTCATAAAAGCATCTTCAGTTAAACACTTAAGTGTGATCACAACCCTCAGGAATCTACACATTGAAGGTTTTGCCAGTGGCTCATGACTATTTAGTTCAAATAGGGAAAGAATACTCAGCATAAACTCACTTGTTTAGGAGGTCAATTGTGCTGCTGAGAAATAACCAGCCTTGCTAAATTATTACCTTTTCGAGAAGCTACTGTTGGACCAGATACAGCTGGAGTAGACAGAGTTGGAGAATTCAGCTTTTCATCACTGAAGCTGAAACTGTTCCTGCATAGTGAATCCGCACCTGCAACAAGGATGCAAAACACTTAGAAGAGAAACTACAGCAAATCTTGAAGAGCAGTGAAATACTGTTTTGCACCACACCCATGCCAAAATCCACACACAGGATATCAATAACATTCTGGCGTGATGTCACAATTAGATAGATTAAATAGTGATTAGATTTAATCAAGAAGGCTAATATATAGACTAGAAGAAGCACAGATTTACAGAAACAATGGTTGTGCTAGATGTCCTCCAAGGGACAGAGTTTTAGTCCTACATAGACTGGACAATAAAACCTTCTTCAGGAAAGAAGGGCAATAACAAATAAGCATTTACTCTGCATTTGCCAAGTGGGGAAAATTGCCCATAGAGGTTTCATCCGCATCATCCACTACACTAGAAACTAAGTTCTGCATGTTTCAAGACTCTCTGGTTCTGGAAACACTTGCAAGGCAAAGTCAGCAATTTGGAATCTTTGGAAAAAACAAAACTGGCACTTAGGCTGCAATCCATTCTGGCATCCGGATTGACTGAACAATGTCTCAGACAACCAATATAAATCACAAGACGTTTCAGAACAATGGCAGCATTCATTGACAATCACCAAATCGCTTTGAAGGGCTGCCTCCTCATTATTTACTGTTACTTGGCTTTTGTGCCTCACTCTTATGCTTCCATCTGCTTGCTCCTCTATCAGCTGCTTTCTGCCTCTCTCAAGTGTGGTACATGTGTGGCAGCTCACAAAGGATTACTTTTGCTATATGCTTACTTTGCCCTGTCTGTGGGAAAATGTTGGTAAAAATGTTTTGCATACTTGGCACAAAGTAAATGCCTGGCAACTTGGGTTCAATTAGGCACAAAGAAACAAGATTTTCCTCTGGCCGCCGCCACCACACACACTGCCATATATCAACTAGAAACTTTCTTTGACAATGGTGTGTTGGCTTCCTGCTTACACTATACTATTTTCTTAGGATGCAGCAATTGGAAAACGTCTATGTTTACCTGAGAACAAAGTGTGAATTGCCATCTGTCAGGGAAGCTATATGTTTCTTACCTTGGGGCAAATCTGTAGCTTCCTCATTGACTTGCCTCATTTTACTGACCACTGAGGAGCTCCAGAGGCAGAATTACAAAATTCTATTTCATTAGAAGGAGAATGCATTGGAGAATTATGATGTATTTAGAATCTTTATCTTACTTTCCAAGTATATAAGATGCAACCAGGCAGTCTTCCAATAGGCAACAGCTTCCCAGAGCCCTTTCTTCAAAGAGCTTCGTCTCCACAGCCAACTCATAAAGCCAAAGGTCATGACCACTTGTCTCTGTTTGAACTGTTGGGTCTCTGCCTGCCCTTCACTTATAGACCTCTCACCTCCTCCAAAGGACACCACATCCCACAGCTCAAAAGAAGTACCCCAAATATTTTCACATTCTGTCACAAAACATTGGGCAGCCGCTCTGCATTCTTGCCAAGTGTAGCTTGGTTTATTTATCTGTTCAGTGGGTACAACCAAGATTCGACCTTGGGGACAATATCTAGGTCCCCACAGCATAGCCTTTCCCAGGGAGTAGCAGGTGATAGGAGGGCAGGGGCAACTAAGTCCAGCATCAGCGCTTGGGTTGGCCTGGGCACCCTGAGGCTCACTTGGGCTGATGCTGGTTACCAAAATATTTTTCTTATATTTAAAAACATTTCCATCAAGATCTGCTCTGACACCCAATGAGTAAAAGTAAATTCCATTTTAAATGCCCATTCTTAAGATTTTTTAAAAAATTAAGCAAGTAAGCTCAGTAAAGTGGATTTCTTCTTCTTTTACTCTTAACTTGTCAGAAATGTTCAAGCAGCTGAAGTGGGAAAGTACAAGAGAAATCCCAACAATACGTGAGTATCTATCTAAATTGCTTGTGATAGTACAATTGAGGACTTGCAGCCTAACCCTATTCAGAGATTCTAAACAAAGGTATAACAGCCCATCTCTCTTCCAACAACCAGCTTGATAACAACTTAATTATATGCCCTCAAGCATATAATACATAAGTTCTACCAATACAACAACGTGAAACACAACTATCGGGAGCTTTAAAAGTGTGGCTCCACTCACTGGCCATTATGTATTCTAAACACAGAAAAATTAGCTTCAGATTTTGTCCCCTAACACTTGAGGATGTTTCAGTGCTGTAGGTGTGCAGATACTCCTACCATGTGGATGGGGCACAGGAGTACAGGTGCCATATGTTCCCACTACATTTTTTTATCTGCAATTGTGCTAATAGTAGTGAACCAAACTACAAAAAGTTCTGTGTTACTATGAAACAGCTCTTCGAATAGGAATGGAAGATTCTGAACAGATTAAATCTACTTACATTGGAGCAAAACCTACTTAATGAAAGGTTTAGAGTAGAGAGAGATGCATGCTTACCTTGGCAAGCAAAGTACTGTAATTCATGGTTAGGTCTAGTTATTTCTATTCCAGACTTCAGGCAAACCTCAAAAATGCTGCTTAAATATAGCACAGCTTCTTAGAGCAACAGTTGATTGCTATATACGTAATGCAGAAATGCTCTGCACAGTTCTGGGCACCACAGTTTAAGAATATTGAAAAGTTGGAATGTGTCCAGAGGAGGGTAACCAGGATCTTAAATGTCCTTTCCTGAAAGTTAAAACTGTTATATTCAATCCTACTCTCTGGAGCTTGCTCCATGTACCACATGACAGTGCTTCAAATATTTGGAGTGGGCTATCATATTGGCTCTCAGTCTTCTCTTCATAAGGCTAAAACATGCCCAGCTCCCTCATCTGTTCCTTGTAGAGTTTCATTTTCATCTTAAAAAGCAGAGACATCACCTTGCCAACAAAAGTCTGCAAAGTCAAGAGCTATGGTTTTTCCTGTATGGAAGTGAGAGCTAGACCATAAAGAAAGCTGACCACCGAAGAATTGATGCTTTTGATTTGTGGTGCTGGAGGAGGATCTTGAGAGTCCCCTGGACTGCAAGGAGAACAAACCTATCAATTCTAAAGGAAATCAACCCTGAATGCTCACTGGAAGGACAGATCCTGAAGCTGAGGCTCCAATACTTTGGCCATCTCATGAGAAGAGAAGACTCCCTGGAAAAGACGCTGATGTTGGGAAAGTGTGAAGGCAAGAGGAGAAGGGGACAACAGAGGATGAGATGGTTGGATAGTGTCATCGAAGCAACCAATATGAATTTGACACAACTCCGGGAGGCAGTGGAAGATAGGAGGGCCTGGCGCGCTCTGGTCCATGGGGTCACGAAGAGTTGAACACGACTGAACGACTAAATGACGATGATTATCATTCAAAAATTGTGTAGACTCTTTCATAGATGCACACCCCTTCCCCTTTATTAATATAAAATCAATAATTTCTCCTCAAATACAGTGGTGCCTCGCATTGCAATGTTAATTCGTTCCACAAAAATCGCTGCAGAACGAAAACGTTGCAATGCGAAATAAAAACGCCCATAGAAACACATTAAAACGCGATTAATGTATTCCTATGGGCTTAAAACTCACCGTTCAGCGAAGACCCTCCATAGCGCGGCCATTTCTTGTGCCTCTTAAGCAAGGAATCCATCCCAGAAAACAGCGGGCGGCCATGTTTTTTCCCCGGCGGCCATTTTGAAACTACCAATCAGCTGGCCGAAAATGGTTGCTTAGTGATGATCAGTCATCGCAAAGCGAAATTTCCCCATAGGGAACATCGCAAAGCGATCACTTTTGCAATAGCAAAAGATGCATCGCAAAGCAATTTCGTCACTAAACGGAGTGCTCGCTATGCGAGGCACCACTGTATCAATAAAATTATTCTTACTTATCAACCACTTTTTTGCTTTAATATTACACTTTACCATTTACACTTGTTTAAAAACTGCCCTGATAATTGCTTTGTATTTGGGTGGAATGTGGTTAACTGATGGAAAAGAAGTCAGATTCTAGGATTTTCCCTTGAGTGGTGTCACTTTGTGAATGGTAGTGAGCACAAGAGAGTATTCTGTAGGCCAGCCATTTCAATGGAGACCATATGGCCCCCTGAGCTACCCTGGCACATTTGAAGGGAATTTTTCATCTGTTTGTGTGACAGGGGCCCATAAAACCTGAAAAACCTAAAACCTAAGAAGAGATCCTAAAAGGCCCATGGCTGTAGACCATCTTCACTGCTGCCATTGGTGTTGTCAATATGCAGGCTACCCTTTGTTATGTAAAGCTTAGCATCCTTTCTCTGATGTTGGGCACCAACATGGGACTATTTCCTGTATTTTTGAATTGTGGATACAGAAGTACAATAACATAAACCAGATTTTTTTTTGTTTTGTTTTAAAGAATTGAATAAAATTACAGTGGTGCCTCGCTTTATGAATGCTCCACATTACGATGAATCCACTTTACGATGATCTTTTTGTGATCGCAATTGCAATCGGAAAACGATGGTCTAAATGGGGGAATTTTGCTTTGCGATGATCGGTTCCCTGCTTCGGGAACCGATTCTTTGCAAAATGATGATTTTTCAACAGCTGATTGGAGGTTTCAAAATGGCTGCCGGGTAAATAAAATGGCTCCCCGCTGTGTTTAGGGATGGATTTCTCGCTATACAGGCAGCGAAAATGGTCACTGTATGGAGGATCTTTGCTGGCCGGTGAGTTTTAATCCCACTGGAACACACTGAAAGATTTTCAATGCGTTTCAATGGGCTTTTTATTTTCACTTTACGATGTTTTCGCTTAACGACGATTTTCCTGGAACTGATTATCGCCGTTAAGCGAGGCACCACTGTATAGTCAGGGCTCTGGTGCTGAACTTTCAGTCAGTTAATTCAGCTTCTTAGGTGGCACAGTAAATTGACAGACTAGGGCATTTGGGTAGGGGTTTCAAATGCTACCAGACGTAACAGCAAATGTCACTACATAATACATGAGAAAACCAAACAATGGTTCTTGGCCAATTTCTGGTGGACAATAGTGTCCAAAATGTGGGATACCGTATAGCTGGCCTGATCC